CCATGATATTGCACAGTACCACTCAACCATATTTTGTCGGATTAAAAATGTTCGATATATATGTGAAAACGGTGTATTGTTTGTATAAATTGTGTGTGTGGAAGAAAAGAAAATGAAAAGAATGATAGCAAAATCACGCGCCAGCAGCATCGCAACGATGTATATAAAGTGTAAAATAGAAACGGATTCTGCAAATGCCATGATGGCATTGTGAAAATTACAAATGTAGAAATAAAAGCGTGCCCAAGGCAAAACAATTAAAACAACAATTTCTGTTGTTATTGTTCGAGGCGTCGACTCTGTACTTTATTTTTTTTCCCTTCTCCGTTGCTGCAATGTTTTGTATGTTTCACTTTGTCTATGCACTGAGATTTCACATCCTCGGCATTCGTATTTGGTGTTGGGGCTGAGCTTATTGCAATCCTATGATTTTACCATTTTGTTGTTTGCTCGTGTGTATGCTTATATTTACGTTTGTCGTTTATTTTCATTTCACTTTGGCATTGTTATTTTTAAATGTTTCGTTGAATACGATTCGTCTATTTGTGTTTTGCTACTGCTGCTGTTATTGCATTTTACCTTGCATTTGTTTTGGATTCTCTTTTAGTCGGTGTATTGTGTCGGCCGGAGAGGGTTATTCCTTCTGCTTCTTCTTTTTTTCCACGTTATTGTTTGCCATGACGTGTCCTATGCCATGCAAAACAGACAAACACATATTTATTTGGCACAAACAGGGTGTTGGAGGTGGCGGACGGAGTGCTTGATTTGAAATCGAATCGAAGCAGAGAGAATGCAATGAGAGAAGCAGAGAATGAAGAGGAAATCAAAACTGAAAACCAACAGTACCTATAACGAACAAAATAATCAAGTCAAAAGAAAACATCGGAACATTTGGATTGAGTTGCAAGTATAACAAACTACATCAGCAAAATGAAGCTCAGCGAAAACGATATGAAGAAAGTTTTATGCAAAAATATATCGAAAGAGATATAGGAAACGTAACACAAATCCGATACACGCAGAGAGATAGAGGGCGGAGGGTGCCTAGACAAACGTTGCATCTGTTTCGTATATATGTTGCTGACGGTGTTATTTTCAAATTCCAGCCTTCGACTACTATTTAAATAGGATCACTTCAGACATTGTATCCAGGCTATCTGGGTCCAAAGTACCAAACGTTGCGCATCACTCTGACATTCATTCAAAATGAAATCGATTCGCACGAAATGAGTATGAATGAAGGCAATTTATTGAATTTTTCTATTTGTTGCTGTTGTTGTCATTCATTTAAAAGCTTCTTTTCGATTATTTTGTTCGGGTCGAAGTTGACAAAAAATCGATAACAAACATTGTTTGTTTGTACGATCATCAGTGTGTCTTCTACACGATGACTGTGTTTTTTTTTTGCTCCCTTAATCCTATTGCATCACTTAAACGTACACGACGTCGTTGTGGCGGCGATGTTTCCGATGGAAATGAATAGCAAAATAGCAAAGGTGCAAGAAAAAACAACGTATCCAATTTGGTCATAGCACGACACATTCATACTTTGGGTTAAACTAAATTCGATACATTGACTATAAATTACATTTGGTTGATATTTGCAATGATCTATGAGTTCATCTTTTTTTCGCAATGAAACCAAAATAATGGCGAGAGAATAGAGACAAAGAGAAGGAGAGAGAGACAGAGAGAGAGAGAGAGAGAGAGAGAGAGAGAGACAAAAATACGCCAGACACTATACAAATTATGATTGATTTCGATGGGCTCTACCCAATCGGCTATAAATATTCATTTTGCATATATGAATTGTGTGTACTTTCTGTGTGATAAAAATTTGTAATCGTCAACAGAAAAAGACATTCGCTGAGTTGCTGGCGAAATCAATGCAAAACTCAGCAAAGACTTTTGCTCATACCTATGCCATGTTGGTGCCATATGTATAATATAAAACTCCATGTTTCGCAACGATAACGATATTACAAAAGAAAGTTTTCGACATGTTATCGAAAACTGCGAAAGGCTGGCTCAAAGGAAGTACCAAACGTGCGATGTAGTGCGTGGTGGTGGTTATGTCTGCAAGTTTTGTCAACAATGGGCCAACGTTTTTCACATTCAAGATAAATGCATGAAAATAATAAATCAAATTGACTTCGAAAGGCATTCGCTTCTAATGCATGTCAATAGAAAAGAAAAACAAACAAGGATCGTTATTTCGCCCACGGTGTGTAATTTTTGTATCGTACACACATCGCCATTACCCATATATAAAAAGTGTGAGTGGGTTTAATGTTAGTTTATGCTATTGATTTTGCTTAATTATGGTTTCATCATCTTTTCTTATAAAAAATTTGCGCATAAATCAACCTACAAAGGCAAGCATTTAGTTTCGGTAAAAGGTTCAAATAATTTCTCCAAAAAACAATGTCAATCTAACGAAAGAGAAAAAAAGTCCACTTCGAAAATCAAATGATACAATGCCAAAAATTTAAGACAAGCTAAAACAATGTATAAATAGCTTTTTCAAATGTAAATGACGAAAAGTTTTGTATCCATTTTAAAATAAATGCCATTTGGTAGTTAATTAAAGACGAATTTATTCGCATCTCCAGTGAATTTGATGGTTGTATACTCTTTTCCAATAAGATCGGTTACAGCGGTCTGTCAAAAA